CCCCAACCCCCCCCCCCCCCCAACCAAACATACCCGACTCCCAGACACGACAGCCCGCGTCTTCGACTGCCTGATGGTGGAGGGCGTCAAGGTGCTGCACCGCGTGGCGCTCGCGCTGTGCACGCTGCACTCCAGCGCCGTGCTGGCCTGCGTGGGCGACCGCGCCGCGCCGGCGGTGCTGCGCTGGCGCGTGGCGCACACGACCGACGCGGACGCGCTGGTGCGCTGCGCCTTCCGTGGCGTGGGCACGCTGACGCGCGCGGGGCTGCTGACTTTGCGCGCCGCCCAGCAGCGCGACATGCACGCCGCGGAGGCCAGCGCCGCCGCGCGCCTGGCGCGCCTGGTGGCCCGCAAGGCGCCGTCGGAGGGCGCGGGCGACGCGCGCTCCGCGGCCAGCGCCGCGACCTCCTCCTGCGCTACGCCCCCGACCTCCGCCGACTCGGCGGGGACTGCGGGGGCGGCGGAGGGCGCCTCCCCGCGTCGGACCCAGGCCGCGGCCCTGCGCCTGCTCCTGGCCCGGCCCCAGCTGGTCACCAGGCTGGCGGCCTCGGTGCAGGGCGCCAGGGGGTGACGGAGGAGGGCAAGGACGAGCTCGCACGCCACGGGAGCGTGGTGATAGCTTGATCTGATTAGCAATCAGGGTTGCTGGATGGCTTGGCAATCCGAGCTGAGGAGTCGAGAGGATGCATGCATGTGTGGAGGTTTTTCATGAATCTATGATGAAGATGCGATGATAATCAGGAGATTCCCGTGGAGTGTGATGGTGGGCATGAGCAGCCCCATATCTGTAACAGCAAGGAGTTCGGGCTGGGGGTTCAGCAAGGGGATGTGGACTCTCAGGGCGACAAGTCAGGGTTGCCCAGGCGCCACTCCGAGGAGCGCCTCTAGCCCCTGGCAGGCTCCTGCTCGAATATCTCTGCCACGCGGATGGGCATGACCTCGATGGGCCTGTCCCGCTCGCCGGCATAGGTCCTGAACTCCGCGGCGGCACCCGCGGCCGCAAAGCTCACCACGATTCGGGGGTGGTGGGCGGCGCCGCCCAGCAGGTGACCCACCCGCGTCGCGTATCCACGCTGAGGGTGCGGAGCCGGGAGGTCGTAGTTTATCAGCAGAGAGGCACCGCAGGGCGCCGCCTCGCGCGGCACCAGCCGCAGCGCCGCGTCGGTGGTCGCCAGGATCTGAGGAGTAAGGGGTGGAGGCTGGCGCCACATGAACGGGCCCCGAGGGCACGGAGGGGGCATGCAAGGAGCACCCCAAGCGGGTGCATGGCACAAATTAAAGGTGGTTCCTCACGTCTATGCTGGGCGGCTCCAGTGGAGGGGGTGCACGCTCGTCCCCACCCCCCTGGTCACGCGCTTGTGCGGACGGCGGATGCGGGGCGGCTGCGGCTGGGTCTCTTGTGCGCCCTGAGCACGCTTTGAAGCGCCACACCACAGCCAGGGCCTCAGCCTCGGAGAGGTTGGAATGCTGCGGGGCGGGGGACGAGCAACTCTGCCTTACTTCTTATTGCCTGGAGCATGCCCATCGTTTTTAAGGCTGGCAACCTGCCAGTAGTGGTTCCAACTCCACAAAATGTCCCCAACCTTTTCGCACCAGGCAGTGGAGGCGCACATTCTGCACGCTGAGGCAGGCGGCGCATACAGCGTCGAGGGGGTCTCTGGATCTGCGATGGAGGGGTCGAAGGGAGGAAATTTTCTGTGGCTGGATATGCGCGGAGTGCTTCGCGCCCAACGTTTCATGGGGCATGGGGAAGGTCGCCTCCCCGCTCACCCACAAGCCACACTCAGGCTGAGGGGAGCCGAGGGCAGCAGTGCTCGCAGGAGGTCGATCAGAGTTGGCTGGAGTGGATCAAGTGGACAAGAGGGTGAGAGGATTGCAGTAGACACATTCTAAACCCACGTGCAAAGGGACTTGGCATCTACAGCTTACCAACTTGGCATCCAGTGTTCCGACGGCAACATAGTACTGTCGTATGCCGTGCGATGCCCCCTTGCCCTCCATGGACTCTCGTATAGATTAGGAACTGTGAAGGAGGAATATATTATCCCTGTGTGGATCGATGTGTACACGCTGGATCATTTGCCATTTTCGTATCGGTCCGTATGAAATGCGCGTCATGCACGAACTGGCAACCAGCATCGATGCGTGCAACCCCTCCGTAGGCCCAAATCTGGATCTCATTGTCATGAATAACATAAAAGCGAAATACAGACCGCAACCGGAAGTGTCCTGGCATGCGTCCGCGGTAGTCTCACGCCAATAAAATGGCGCGCGACTGGAAGAGCATTGCCACGGTCACTGCCTTCCTTGGGGTCACGCTTGCAGCGCTGTACCCTGTTGCCGTGGTCCCGCTTATCTCGGAGCGTAGAATGACCGAACCTCCGGCTCCAGGTTTCCGCAAGGGCGGCATGTGGAAGCAAATGGATCGCCCTTGACAGTTCAGGTTGGGTTGCTGGCGTGCGCTGTCAGACTGCACTGTGATCCCCTCGCTGCACAGTATATGCTCTGGGCTGAGCTGTATCTGTAACAATGCACAATAACATGGGTCGAATCCGGGAATGGGTAATCTACCATGGCAAAGGTTACTCCAACTGAGAATCTCAAGCAATCCTGTCAATACTCCCATCCTTTGGCACAGGATACTCGTGCAGTGGACAGCAATAACCGCGGCTGGGCCCTGGCACAGCCTCTGCCATCGTTGGGGGCTTTATAACCGCACAACGCACCCCTCACGGCTGGAAGGTGGGGCTGTTGGCGGCGGCGCCCGGCCCGGCAGTGGTCGCAGCCGCCCCCGCAGCAAACCCGGCAGAGTGCATGCCGGCCTGCGCGGGATTGGACCACCCTCCCGCCGGTGGCTGTGCAGCTGCCGCCGCCGCTGCGGCGGGCGCCGGGCCCTGCCCGCCCTCCGTCTTTACCCCGGGGAAGGTCTGGCTCAGCACGCGGCGCGGCCCCGTAGCCAGGGCTGCGGCGGCCGCCACCGACTGGTACACCTTGCCGATGCGCTTGAGGGCCAGCGCCCGCTCGGCCAGCTCAGACTTGGGCACGCCTGCGCGTGTGGGCAAATGAGATCAGGGCATGATCTTGTTGGAAGCGACTACTGTATACATCAGCAATGCAGGGTTAGAATTGCAGGGGGCCGTGACTGGGGCAGAGGGGAGAGTAGCAGCAGTGTGCATGCCATCACGTGGGCCGTCGGCAGGGTGTTGCCGTGGCATCGCCAGGGGCGCCAGGCCAAGTCCATGGGGCCCTTTCGTGACAGTGACCCCTTCAGGCCCCCACAGGTATACTTCCTGCATCCAGCCCCTCTCCCCGCCAACCCAGCCGCACCGGCGTCGTTCAGGACGGCGACACAGACGGCCTCCAGCGTCTTCTCGATGTCCAGCACGTTCACCTTCCAGAGCGCTGCCAGGGTCTTCTCGGCATGCCCCACCATCAGTGCTTCGGCGTCCTGCTGGCTAATGGCCCCCGAGTTCAGCTGCTTCTGCAGCTCCTGCCCGATGCTGACCAGGCTCACCGCCCCCGACACCGCATTGTACTGTGGACAGGGGGTGGAGATGGGCAGGGGGGTGTAAGGGCGTGGAACTTAGGCTGTGCGAAAGAGCCGAGGAGCTCCAGCACAGCTGTCTAATGCCAGCCATGTCTCTCCCACTGGCACAGCCTGATGGTGCTGTGTGCAAGATCTGCTCACTCCCTTCCATCGTCTACTAGCCTCAGCAACACAACAATTCACCGGCAACCCTGCGCACGGTGGTCTTGGTGCCGTGCCCCATCCCACGCAGAGACTCCCAGACAAAGCCCACGCCCAGGGTCTTCAGGTTCTTGCCCGCCTCTCGTGCGCCGATGCGGCTGTACATATACCTGTGTGGTTGTGAGAAGGAGTGCTTGGGGGTTGGGGTACCACCATGCGATGTGTGTCACCTACCTGCCTTGCGGGTCTCGACAGCTGAGTCGGCCGCCCAGGGAAGGACCCCGCCCACATGCAACGTGCGTGAAGCCAGGTCCCCATTCTTCCCCCAGCCCGCCTCACCCGATGGTGGTCAGCATCTCGGGCCCAAAGTTGAACTTGACCAGGTCGGCGGCCTCCCGCCCCGCCCGCTCCAGGGTCGCAGGCTTGGTGGCCCCCTGGTAGGTCCGCAGCCGGGCGGCCAGGTGCTCCGTCAGCTCCTTCACGCGCTGACGCTGCGCCTCGGCCATCTTGGCCGACAGCTGCTGCTGCGTGAGGGGCTGGCCGCTGGCGTCCGCCGCAATGGAGGCGGCGGTGGCCAGCTGCAGCTGGCCGACGTACTCCTCAAAGGCGTCGGAGCCAAAGAGGACCCCAAACAGGACGGAGGGGTCCATGAGGGGGGTGTCGGACAGGCCGCCGGCGCCCAGGCGGTCGTAGATCTCGCGCTTTTGGGGGTCGGAGAGCACCTGGTATGCGGTGCCCAGCTCCTGGGACGGGACAAGGGGGAACGGTTCGAGGACGGGGAAAGACGCTCTCTTTGATGAAAGCAGTCCGACCCCAGTGCTGATTGTCCTAGATGACCAGGATGCATACACAGCATGGCCTGGTAGGTCATACCCGCTTGTAACCATCCTGCAACATCCTCATACCACAGCACACTGTATACTTCCACACCTCGAACTCTCGGTTGGCATTGGGGTCGTTCGGGCGCTTGTCTGGGTGCACCTGATACGGGAATTCGGCATGATGGAAGGGTTCATAGGGGGGTCTCAAGGATGGCCCAGTGCCAGACGCAGCGGACCCTCAAGGGCGACGCCGGAGCACCCTCTGGGTCAATTATTCGAGCTCATTGTCACACCAGCGCATGTGTACCTTGCGGGCCCTCAAGTAGTAGGCCTTCTTGATTTGTTCGGGAGTGGCATCCACCGAAATCTGCAGCACATCGTAGTAGACAGTCTCCTTCACCATCCTGTGACACCTGTGGAGCGAGTGGATGCAAAGTTTATCTTGAAGCCGTGTTGATGTCGACAGTGGAGATAGGAACTGCTTGGGTGTCTCCGAAAGGAGTAACTGGGCTGCAGCAGACTCCAGTCTCGGTACCGACGACGCTTCACCGACTTGCCTTGCCGTACAGCTCAATACTCCGTTATATCTTGTTTTCACTTTGATTGAGACTTCTGACCAAAGGGTCGAGGATCCAGGAAGACCATCTTTGCAAAGGTACTTCTGCGCGCAACACGGTTAATTTCGGGCGGGACCTGTCGAAGCTGGAAGCTGCTCCTGCTTAAGGTCGTCATACAGGTGACAGCTGGGCACCCCGCCACAATGTCATCCAGTCAGACATATAACCTCAGGTGACATAAAGTCGCAGTGATGAGGCGGGGCATCTGCAGGCCCGCCCCCCGCCCCCTGCAACCTCTTCCTAAGAGGTGCAGGACTGGGCGTGGATCGAGGCGTGCCATGCCTCTGAGCCCAGAGGACCCCTGGGGCGAGGAGGGCGTCAAACTGGCGTGATATTCTCGTCTCAGGGGAGGCGGCATGGCCTGGGCTGGGCCGAGAGCCAGGGTCCTCGGAATCGGCAGCTTCCCGCTGCTGGCCACGAAAACACTCTACTGTCTGCTCCTGCCGCGCGCCGGCCTCTGGCATGCTGGTCTCTCCTCTGCCAGGCAGTCTGGTACTCTGAAGAGGCATATTGCCGGCCGGCGGCGTCACCAGGTCGACGAAACCTGGCGCCGGCACGCCTGATAGGGAGATGAAGGGCCGCGCCGGCGTGCTGGCACGGGGTTTTCGCCCTCTCCTCTTCGGTACATCCGCTCCTGCATACTGTGGGGGTCGAAGCTCCACAGCGAGGGGAGGAGACGCCATACCTGGTGCCGTTTGGGGCGCCGGCGCTCCCTCTACCGCCCGCTCCGCCTCCCCCATGGCGAGCTTGCGTGGCCGACCCCGGGGTCTGGCCGCCGGGGCAGCGCTCGGCGAGGCGCTAGGGTGCGACGCCGGCGAGGCCAGAGGGGAGGCCTTCTGCGCCTTTGATGCCGCCGCCCTGCCGGCAGCCCGCCTCCTGGCTGCCGGGGACGACTTGGTGCGGGCCCCTTGATGCTGCACCCACCCCGCGTTCCGGGCGTCCCGCAACACCTCCCGCCACGTCACCCGTGCCTCGCACGTCGGGCAGCTGCCCTGCGAAGGGAGGGTGCCGCCTTCCTGCACGAGTGTCGAGGGGTGTCTTGAGCCGTGAGGTCGCGCACTGCATGCTGGGCCAGGCATGAGCTGCGCAATTTCATACCTCAGTATGTGTTCAAAATGAACCAAGGGGGGGCGGCCCTTCCTCCCCACCCGTAGCATCCACCACTCCCCCCCCCCCATCCCCCCCCGCCCCC